TGCTGAAGGACAAGTTGCCGAGCCTAATGGGAGAGGCCTCAGCCCTGTCTCATACTGCCTCTGCACCTCTCTCTTGGGGTTTTCTGGGTACCTCTCAGGTACCTGCCCCTGCACCTACAGTGTGAATGAGACACAGTATTTTCTCCTCCTCTCCTCCTCCTACAATACCACCTACTGGGTCAATCTCACCGCTACCCTACTCTGGTCCTACAAGACTGAATGAAAACCATCATGGCTGCTGTGTACTGAAAAGACCTAAGGGACAATGGGCTCCTGGCTGAGAGCAAGTCACAATCCCTCTCTGGGCCTCAGATTCCTCCACAAGTAAAGCTAGGACCATAAGTTTGCTCTCCAAAGGGCTGTGGCAAGGATTAAATTGGCCAGAATGTATGAAAAGGTTTTGTGTATCCTCATGTAAAGTATGCTTACAATTTAGTTAATGAGAAGTGGGCTTGAACAGAAGCTGGGGTTTGTCCCTATGGCCTCAGTGCCTCAAGCCTGCAGAACCCTAGTGAAGCCTCAGGGAGACAGTGCATTCCGGGGACTGACAAGTTGTTAAGAGGTAACTTGTCCTCAAATTCAATCCTATCCCAGCTTTGAGAGTTTTGGTATCCATTTAGTTGTTACAAAAATAAAACTAAAGTTAAATTTAAAGAAAATATTTTTAGCCAAATGTGGGAGACCACTTTTCATGGGTCTCTTGCTTTTTTCTGCATGTCTTGCATGCAGAGGTGCTGCCTGTCTTTGTTCCTGGACATCTTATTGTATGGTGAGCAATCTTGGAACATAGAGAGAGTGTTTCCCTCCAGAGTCGGGAAGGTGTGCTCAGTGCCCATTATAAAAGTTTTGGATTTTTTAAGCTTGGGGCTCCACTCTTGAGAAATACCCCACTGTGTGTGCAGGTGTTATCTGGTCTTCACTGTATCACCCCATGGGAACTGAAGCTGGAAGAATCAGTTCAAGAAAATGTAGATACTCTGGCTGCTGTGAGTAATAAAGTCCTTAGTCTCTGACCCAGGAGGCTTGTGTCTTCTGCCAGCATCCATGAAATGGGCAGGCTGACTTGTTATCTTAGAAGTCTGGTAACATCTCCGTCAATTTCACAGTTCTTGATACCAAAAAAAGGCAACATAGATACTCATATGTTTGGAAGAAATTGTAAAAGAAAAAGATACTCTCAAAAGACAGCAAGTTTATCTGGTCCATTACAGAAAGGAAAACAGGAGAGTAACGTTGTTTAGAACACATGCTTTGGATACAGCAGGAAGTCGTTCAAATCCCAGCGCCACCAAGCACAGAGCTGGGTGTGTTATGAATGCCACAAAGGTGCCTGGCTGGCTGTGGGGACTGTGATCTAGCCTGCACATGCCTATTCAAGCCATGTGTCCTGGTGGTAGGCCCTGGCATGGGGCAGTGTCCCTGGAGGTGGGGCCTCTTTCTGATCTGCCTATGGAGGTGGCTGGAGGGAGGTAAGCATAAAATTTATATAAAAGTATGGTTTAGACCCCGAAGCTACCTGCCATTATGTGAGAGCTTGGGCCACACATAACTTATGTCACCTAACTTCCCAAACCTCAGTATAAAACGAGGACAGTGATTCCATATTTCCCAGAATTGTTCAAGAATTCAGAGGGAAAAAAATGTGAAAAATGAGCTTAGCACATCTGGTATGCAGGTGGTGCTTGAATATGGGAAGTGGTATCATTACATTAAAAACAATAAAATGCCACAAAACTTAAAATTTAAAATACTATATCCTAAGGTGCTGACAGATGAACTGGTTTGGGTAAAATATAGGACACTGAACTAGGTGATAGAGTATATATCTGTTTGCTTATTTTCTGTCTCCCTTACTCAAGGCACGATGAGTTCCCCCCTTTATCCCCAGAACAGGGCCGCCTAGCCGGTGGTAGGTGCTCTGTAAATATCTGTTGCATAAAGAAGCCTGCATTGTGCACACCTGCTAGAACACAGGGTAAACTGTGTAAACGCCGCCTCCATCACTTACTGGAAAATAGTATTGGGCAAGAAGTGGCTTTCCCTTCAGGGAACCTCGGTTTCCTCCCCTGTGAAATGGGGTAACAACAGCAGCCACCCAGAGTGTGTGGACTTTTCACTGAAAGGACAGCCCACCCTAGATACTCACCCAGGAGGCGTTCCCTGCCCCCCGCCCCAGAAAGTCTACCTTGAGGAGCTCCGGTGCCTGCTTCTTGAGCTTCTCCATCTTCCACTCATTCTCGCAGGGGTTGAGTGAGGAGGGTGGCGCCGTGCAAGAGCAGCGGCAGTCGGTCCCTGAGCTCACGGTCTCCACAGTGTAGAAGTCCTCCACCCGTGCCCGCCCGCTGCGCACCCGGCTGCATGCGTCCTTGCTCAGCGGCCGCATGATGCACTTGCAGCGGCAGTCAGAGCCCTCTGAGGTCATTCGCACCTGGTCCATGTCACCAAACACCTGCAAGAGGGGCTCCGGTGAGCCGAAGGCCAGTGCTGGGGGGGAGAAGGAGGAGGGAGGAGGAGCCAGGAGGAGGCACCTGGGACAGGTAGCGCAATCCAGTGCCCTTGGCCTTTGGGGTGCCTGGCTGGCTCACGCAGTTGAGCCCGTGATTCTTGATCTCAGGGTTGTGAGTTCGAGCCCCACACTGGTTGTAGAGATTACTCTAAAAAAAATTTTTTTTTAACTCTTAAAAAAAACAAAACAAAACATGGAATTACCACAGGACCCAATAATTCACCTTCTAGATAGAATTATTATCTAAAGATGATTTCCCCAAAGAACAGAAGACAGGTATTCAAACAAAGACTTGTGCATGAATGTTCACAGCTGCAGGATTCACAATACTTACGAGGTGGAACGAATCCAAATGTCCATCCGCTGATGGGTAAACAAAAGTGGTGCGTCTATACAGTGGAATATTACTGAGTCAAAAAACGAATGAAGTATGGATGCATGCTACAACTTGGATGAACCTTGCCAACATGGCTGCTAAGTGATAGAAGCCAGACGCAAGAGGCCACATATTGTATGACTCCGTTTATTAATATCCAGGCTAGGCAATCCACAGACACAAAGCAGATTAGTGGTTGCCAGGACTTGGGAGAGGGGAAATGGGGAAAGACTGCTTAATGGGCACGGGGTTTCCTTTTGGAGTAATTGAAAATGTTCTGGAACTAAGTAGTGGTGATGGTTGCACAACATTGTGAATGTACTAAATGCCACTGAATCGTACACTTTAAAATGGTAAATATCATGTGTATTTTATCACAACAGTAAAAGATATGAAGAACTTTTATCGGGCACTTACTACACCCCAGTTTTCACGTGCATCGCATCCTTTAATAATATTTGTGGGGGGGGGGGGGCTAGTTACCTCCAAAGTCCTTACCATGGTCTTCAAGGCCTACTTGAACTGACAGCCTCTTCTCAACCCTTCCTCTTGTCACCCTTTCCTTCCTTTGGGTTACTCCATTCCAGCCTTTGCAGATGTGATACCCTCATCCTGAAACCCTTATTCCCCTGATACTCCCTTGGCTTATTCCCTCATGTTACTTACACATCACCTCCTCGGAGAAGCCTTCCAGACTAACCCACCTCCCCTTACTCTGTCCCCTTATCTAGTGGCTTTGTTTTTCTTTATTATACCTATTACCATCTGAAGTATTATATTTGTGTTTGCTTGTTTTTTTCTTACTCTACTGAAGGAACCATTAGAGAAAGGGACTTTGTTCAGTTCTCTCCTATACCACAGAATAGTGCCTGCATGGCCTATAGTAGATGCTCTGTAAATATCTGTTGGATAAATAAGCCTGCATTTTGCAGAAATGCTAGAGCACAGGGCTAAGACCATGGTGTCTGCAACCTGGGTTAGTAGCTGTGAGATGGTGAGCAGCTCAGCCTTTCTGGCCACTCCCTATTTGGCTCAGCCAGCCTACTCTGGGCTCTAGGCTCTTGGAACACAGCTCCCCAAGGCTCAACCAACAAACACCCCAGGCCTCGTGGCTACTGAGCTCTCACTGGAGTAACCAGGACTCAGTTTATGGCTCCCTTGGGCTTCCTGCCAACCCCAGTGCCCTTGAATGTCGCAGGGCCCTTGGAGGAAGGGCCAAAGGCACCCCATATCTGTTCTGAGCTGTCAGACACCTGTTTGGGCCTCTGGCCTCTGTTGGACCCTGGGTGACAGCTGGAGGTGCAGAAGAAATAGGTTGAGATACATTCTTGAGCTTTCCTGCTATATGAGAAGCTGGCAGAGTAGGCTCTGAGAACACAGAGGAAGACACCCATGAAGACTGCTCAGAGGAGGGCACCCTTGGGGGGCATCTTTAAGGAGGAGAAGGGCATTCGAGGGACAGCAAATCAGATATGTAAAGATGAGAAATGGCCTGGCACTTGGGGATCTGAGGGAGAATCATTTTGGCTGGTACTTGCAGGAACCCGGGGATGGCAGAGACCAGCTTGTGGAGGGCCCTGAAAGCTGGTTGGGGATCTTGGTTTCTTCCTGAAAACACTGGGGAGTCACGGAAAGATTTTAAGCAGGGGAGAGCCAGGTTCAGATCTGCATTATGAAAAGTTGTTATATTATTATTATTATTATTATTATTATTATTATTATTATTGGGCTGCCTTGTGGAGAGATGGTGGATGGACCATCCTGGGTCACAGACCTCGGAGGTGACATTTACTAAGAACTCACTAAGTGCTGGGGAAGTGTGGGGGCAGTGGTTAGGCAACAACCATGGGCCACCTACAGCTGTGTGTTCTTGGGTAGATTACTTAATCTCTCTGTGCCTCAGTTTCCTCATCTGTAAAATGAGGGTACTAGTAGTGTCTGCCCAACAAAGGACTGAGAGATGGAATGCCAGGATTATGCTCAGTCCAGTGCCAGGAGCCCACAGTACAGTCTGTTTACTGTAGCTGTTGTTATTACTACCAATAATCCTGAAAGGGGGTCATTTTCCTGCTTGTTTCTCTATGTATATGCAGTGGTAGATATTCTTAGAGGGTCTTACAGATGCCCTGGAGCCATCAAATGACTTGTTCAAGGGGATTAGAGCCCAGTGTGGGTAGACTTCCAGTCCCCTGGGGGACAAGGAGGGTGGGGAAGGAGGAAGCTACCAGTAGCTTTGTCCTGGGCCCTCTGTGGGCAGAGTGTACCCTGGGCACTTTGGGGCAATTCTCCCCTGCCTGTGAACGCTGACAGCCAGGCTAGGAGTCCTGCACATTCCTTAAATCTCGGCCAGTGCCTTAAGCCTGCCTTCCGTTCGAGACTCCTGGGCCCCCTTCCCAGATCTGCCGGGACCTCCAGCCACCCCCAGCCACTCCCCAGTGGGTGGATATGGATGTGCTCTGTGTGGCCAGGCCAGAGAGGCTTCCTCCTGGGGACCCACTCATAATCCCAACGTCCACCCCCACCAGCCTCCACATCAGATTGCAATATTCCTTGTCTCCTGATGAGGTGCTACATCCTGAGGGGGGCGGCCAAAGCCGTGATACCGGCCAGGAGTCGGAAGAGGGCCTCTGCTCCCAGCCCCAGCTGCCAGGAACCTAGGCAAGGCCCTCCCTTCGGTGATTACTGGGGCCGGCGGTGCTTGATTGGAGGCAGCAAGGCACCATGGTGAGGAGCCAAGCCCAGACTCAAATCCCAGCTCCTCCATTTCCCTGCATGGCCTTGACCCCTCTGAGTCTCTGCGTCCTCCTCCATAAAACGGGGAGGATAATAATCTCTGCCTCTGCTTGACCTGAGGCTGAAATGAGTCAAAATGCATGCAAAGCGCCTGGCACCAAGCCTGGCACAGAGTAACTGCTCTTTAAGGGGTGCGTGCTATTCAAGTAGCCGCCAACAACCCTCCCTCATGTTTGCACGTCATTTTCTACCTCTCTTTGCTCTCATCACAGCCCCCTCTTACAGAGGAGAAATCTGAGCATCAGAGAAGACTAGAGGCTTGTCCAGGGTCACTAAGAACAGCCTGACTCTAAAACTTTGGTTTACTTGCTGTTCCTCCCATGACCACCCGTAGTCAACAGGCAAGGGCTTCTCCAACAACAATTGAGCTGGGACAGAAAAGGGGGCCCTGGGTTGGGTCACAGGGGACGGTATAGGACCTGGCCCACCCTGCCCTTGGCAGGAGGGCTGGAGCTGTCGTGAAGCAGCAAAGTCCCTGCATCACATCGCATCTCTTTCTACGGCCTCACTCAGCACACACCTGCTGCCAGAGACCCCAGAAGGGTGTGGGTGGCTCAGGCTGAAAAACATCCCTAGGTATTTGGGGGTGCCTGGGTGTCTCAGTCGGTTAAGCGTTCAACTCTTGATTTCAGCTCAGGTTGTGATCTCACAGTTCATGGGATCAAGCCCTGCATTGGGCCCTGCACGGACAGTGCAGAGCCTGCTTGGGAGTCTCTCTCTCCTTCTCTGTCTCACTCTCAATCCCTGCCCCTCCCTTTTCCTTTCTCTCAAAATAAAACAAACAAACCAAAAAACATCCCTAGGTATTTGTAAGGAAATCCTCCAATGAGATGGTGAGAAGGCGTACTTGAGATTTTTCTGAAGAAAGATGGATAAATCTGGCCACAGTGGGAAGAGGAGGGTTTACACTTCTAGAATGTTATAGAAATGAACAGATTCACATTGTGTTACCCTGAGGTGGAGTCTTCCTTCTTTTCACATGACCACCCCAGACTCACTGGGAGCCAGTCTCCATGTCCCCCTCAAAGCCCTCCCCTAGGGCCCAGTGCCAGCTGGACACTCCCTAGATGGCATAGGACCCCCAAACTTAAGCCATCCAAAACTGAACCCAGCATCTTTTCTCAACTGATGTCCAACTACCCTCCCACCCACCCCAGATATCTGAGCCTCCGTTTTACACTGGACAAGCCATCAGTCATGTTCTTCCAATTCTTTATCCTAATTATCTCCCATCTCTATCCGTGGTTCTCCATTCCATGATGATAGCCCAAGTTCAGACCACATTAACTGCTACCTAGGAACACAGCAGCCTCCTCTCTGCCAGCATAATCTTCCAGAAGCTCCCCTTTGATGATCTTTACTCTCTTGCTCCACAAACCTTCATGGCTCCCTATATCTCCATGAGTTTTCAACTGGAAGGATGTGCCTTGGAATGACCTAGAGTACACTTGGAAAATGCAGGTGCCCTGGTCCGAGTCCACACTTCTTAACTCAGACTCCGAGGCTCCCCAGGCCATCTGGATGCCCACTGAAGGCTGAGAATCCTGTAACCCCAGGATTCTCCAAACTCCTCAACCTGACTCTTTTGACCCTCAGTGTTCCAACCTGTCAAATAGAGGTTGGCAGCAGGGTTGTGTAAGATTCTGAATTGAAGTGCTGGGCGTGGGGCTTGGCACACAGGATGTTTCTCAGTACTTTCTTCTGGGTGCCCCAGCCAACAGGAATGTTGGGGCAAGAATTTCCCTGTGGAGAGACCCTGTGGGGCCTGACCTGGCCCCACACTCTGTGTACAGGAGGAGGACTTCATCATTTGTATCCCTTGTCTGCCCTGAGCCTGTTTTCAATTACACCCACAGGCAGAAACTCCCCGAGCAGAGGTGCAACAGCACCGAAGCCCCCGGAGACCAGCCTGGCCTAGAACATCTGATTCAGCCTGCGCCACCACGGCCTGCCTGTGCCAGCCCCTCCTGCTCTCCTGGCCCAGTCCCTACAAGCCTTGGCCTACCCTCCGTCCTTGGGCCCCTGATCAGCAGCAGGGATGACCAAAGACCCCCATTCCCTTGTCACCGCCTGGATGCATGGCAGTGAGGCACGCCTCACAAATGGGGCAACTGAAGTAGCAAAGGGGAATCCTCAGCCACATTGCAAGGGCATACAGCAGAACCAAGTGCCATGCCTGGCTTTCACGTGGTTACCTGTCTGTCCCTCCAAGCTGGGCAGCCCCTCAGAAATGCCAGGGAATCTGTGAAGCCCTTCTCCCACTCCCGTGCTGGACAAAGCACCTCCTTAGATGAAAATTCCAAGTCCTGTTTAGGAGAGACCTTGCTATAAACACTTGCTATAAATTAAAACACCCTGAGTAAGGAGCTCCCTGAGACCACAGAGTTCTGTAGTGAGTACTGGGGTTGAGCTGCCCCTGCACCCCTGAGAGTGGGGGGCAGGAGTGGGGGGGCTGGACTCCCCCAGGAGCAGGAAGCCTAAGGTGGGGGGCAATTTAACCCTTTAGGGCCCTAGATAGGCTTCAAGTCCCAGGCTGGCCCTCGAAGGGCTCCCCCCTCTCCAAAATAGGACAGGCTTGGAGAGGAAGGATGGTTATGGGGGAGGGAAAGGGTGATAATGAAAACAGCTCTCTCTGTAGGGCCAGCAGGAGACCGGCTGTGCTGAGGAATGCAGAGTAAATTCACCCATCACTTGATTTTTATTTTTCCCAGCTGGCTGAAGTGGTGTGGGGTGGGAGGTGTCTGAGGAGGGCTGTGCTGCATCCTGCAGGCTCTAGGGTGCACCTCCCTACCCACCAGCCTCAGCTTGCCCTGGAACAGCTACACACACACACACACACACACACACACACACACACACACACACCCAACCTAGCAAGTGTTTGGCTGACTCACTACATAAACAACATGTTGGGTTTTCTTTGTCTTTGCTTTGTTTTGAATGTTAGCCCTCCCCCACAAGCTCTACAGTCCTCTGCATGGCTCAGAGGATGCCCAGGACCAAATATTCCTCCCAGCCAGAGATGGGAGGGGCAAAGCATTGATCAGGTTGTGTGGAGTTTTTTTTTTGTTTTTTTTTTGCTTACTGTTCCCCTACCTGAGCCAGGTCAGGGAATGCTAGAGATCCTACATAGAAAGGAAGTTGGACGGAGATTGTTTGTCAGACGGGGAAACTGAAGCCCAGAGTCAGGCAGTGACTTGCCCAAGGTCACACGATCAAAGAACAACAAAGGGCCAGAACATAGGTCTTTGGGTTCACAAGCTGGCCACTTCTCTATACACCCGAGTTTCCCATCTGTAAAATCGGAATGATATGCATTCCCTTCTTATCTTTGGAGTGCATGGTCAGGACTGCAGCTCACTTGTTTTCGTACCCTGAGCTGAACCTTCAGGGTGAGGGTCTGCTAGTGCCCAGTGCTCATAAACTTAACCTGTGGCTAGTGGCTTTTGCCTTTTACCTTGCTTGTGGGCAGTGCAGCCTCATCTTCTACCCAGGAAAGAGGCTGGAGAGACACCAAAAAAGTCACTCCTTTGCTCTCCTGCTGTATGAGTAAGGGCCCTACTTTCTTCCCACCCCTCATTCATTCCCAGTCCCCTTCTCCTTCCTGGGTCATTTCCAGAACACCCTCAAGGGGTCCCTGCTCTCACTGATTCTGAGTGCTTGCTCTCTCAACATTCTGGATCTCACCTCCTTTTGGGTTCCCCTGATAAGATTTCTTAATCACAGTATGATTTATTGGGCACCTACTAGGTACCAGGTGTGGTGCTAAACATTTTACAGGCATGACCTCACTAAAGAACACCAACTGCAGGAAGTGGGGACTATTATTATTTCCATATTTACAAGCGAGGAAACGGAGGCTCAGAGAGGTAAAGGCCCAATGTCACCCAGATGAGAGATGGAGTGGGATTTGAACTCAGGTCTGCTTGACACCAGGGCAGATCCTTTCAGCCACAACAGAGAACAAAAGCTCAGGTCCCTTAGGGAAACACGGTGTCCTCCAGAAGGCGCATTAGATCCCTAGCAGGACTACCAGAGGCCAGGCAAGTGGCCAGCCCACTAGGTTTATTGGGTAGGGACTCTGGATGCCCAGCATGGCCTGAAAGCCTTGACTCCGGCTCTGTTGCAAATCCTGGAGTCCCTGGGTAGTTAGTAGTTACCCAGGGGTCTACCCTACCTGGTTAGCCTGCCGCGGAAACTTTCAGCCAGATTTCCAGACTGCCCCTGCCCAGCGCTCCTAGGAATCCCCTTCCTGGGCTGGGGACTGCATCTCTTGCCTGAGCCCCCTCTAAACTCCCAGGGTCCCCTCTCCCTGGCCCTGGGTTTCAGTGCTGACCTTCTCCCCGCATTGGACTGGGTCCCGGAGACCCTTCCTCAGGCCCCAGGTCCCCAGTACTCCTACCATCTTCAGCGCTTCTTCCCCCACGCGCTCCTCTCCCTGGGTCCTGGCCCCAGCGGCTTCCTTGCTGAGCCGGCCGGGTCTCCCACTCCTGGTCCTCCGCTCCTGGCCCGGACACCCTCCTCGGTCGGCACCCTAGCCACAGCGCCCCCTCGCGCCCGGCTCCCCGCGGAGCTGAGCCCCGATCAGAGGGCCGCGCCGTACCTTACTGTCAGCGCGCACCCGGCCGGCGCGCAGCAGCAGCAGCAGCAACAGCAGCAGCAGCGGCGGCAGCAGGAGCAGGGGCAGTGGCCGGGACCGGGTTAGGAGGGCGGCCGCGGCCATGGCGGGATGGGCACGGTGGGCACGGACGGCCGAGGGCGGACGCTGGGAAGCGCGGGCCGCACTGTGAGCTCTGTGCAGCCGCCAGCGAAGCCCGCGCGGCGCGCCCCCCGCCCCACGCCCCCTCCCGCGCTGCCGGGGGCGGAGCTAGGGTGGAGGGGGCACCCCGCCCTGCCCGGCCTTCTCTCTGCGGGGCCTCTTCGCCATTGGGCGGCTCTCCAAAGGGCATCCCTGCCAGGACACAAAAAAGGGTCTTGTTCGGAGTCCCCAGGAGCCTCGGGGCCAAAACGCGGAGCGCGGGGTCGACACACGGAGGAAGGTCCTGTTCTGTGAGATGTGGGACCGTGGGCGTGTCCCTTCACCTCTTTGAGCCTCAGTTTCCTAATCTGTAAAATGGAGAAAATAGTGCTTTCCTTTTGGAGTGGTTGTGAAGTTCAGATGAGTGATGTTTCCAGAGCAGGTGAGCTTTTCAGCTCTCCAAATACCCAGACCCCGCCACCTCTACCCATCTCACGACTCAGACCTCTCTCTCCCGTTGTTTCTTTTCCTTTTCCCTCCGTGATCCCTCCCGTAGATCCCTAATTAAACTCCAGTAGCTCCTGCCTTTTAAACAGCCTTCCTCTTCCCCATCCTCAAGAGGGAGTGCTCATTTCTCTGATTCCTAGGCAGCAAAACTCCCAAGGAGCCGCCTCTGGTCGCCCCGCCTCAGGTTGCCTGCCCTCCTCTAGCTCCAGCGCTTGTCGGTCTGGCTCGGAGATGGCTAGTTGAGGTCCTCGGGACCTCCTGTCACCGCACCTAAGGCGGCACCTCTAACCTCCCAGGATCAATGGCTCTTGATCATGCCTCCTTCCCAAACTCTCTTCTCTCTCGGTTTCTTTCGGATTCCCCGTATAACCTCGCACGGGGCTCTTTCTCAGGCACTTTTGCTTGTCCTTGCACCTCTGCGCACTCCGGATACCAGACACCTCTTTCCTCTCCACGCTGCCTCCGTAGGTGACCCTCCCCTGATCCAAGGCAGTTCCACTTGTGTGTCTATTTATCTGCCCTTGTAAACTTTAACTGCTCAAAAAGGAACCCTTATATGCACCCCAAATGCTACTCTCAAGCACTTCTCCCTGATGCATAACCCTTCCCCCTCTTCATTTTCTTCATAGAATTTATCCCACATGAAACGTTCTAGTTGATGTGTCTGTTTCCTTGTGTCCTTTATGCCTTCCCTTGTGGGAGAGAAGTCAACTGTGCACATACCTTGTGCATGAGTAGCTAGTTGAGTGGTCTCAAAGTGTGGTTCCAGGACTAGCAGCCTCAACATCACCTGGGAACTTAGAAATGCAAATTCTCAGGCCCTACCCCGGATCTAAGGAAGCAGAAACTCTAGGGATTTGTGCAATCTGTGTTTTAACAAGCCCTCTAAGGGACTTATAGTTTGAAGAACAACTGACCTAGCACAAGGTCTGGTGCTCCCTAACTCTGAGCTGCATTAACGAGTCACATGCTTCAGGTGTTCAGTGCAAATTAGCCTCTTTCATAACTAGAGATCTGGGGACATGTCAAAATCAGGGCTAGATTAGTATAAAAAAATAAATGTGGTATGTGCGTTCTTATGTGCATAGACTGTGAATGGACACACAATAAATCATTATGGTGGTTATTGCTCAGGAGGGAAAACAGTTGTTGGGAATCAGTAAGGAGAAAGGTTTACTTTTCTTTTTTAAATTTATTTTTATTTTTATTTTTTTTCAACGTTTATTTATTTTTGGGACAGAGAGAGACAGAGCATGAACGGGGGAGGGGCAGAGAGAGAGAGAGGGAGACACAGAATCGGAAACAGGCTCCAGGTTCTGAGCCATCAGCCCAGAGCCTGATGCGGGGCTCGAACTCCCGGACCGCGAGATCGTGACCTGGCTGAAGTCGGACGCTTAACCGACTGCACCACCCAGGCGCCCCAAAGGTTTACTTTTCATTGAATACTTCTTTGCATCTGGGATTTTTGTAATGTGTGTCCTATCTATTCAAATAATAGACAAAATGTACTTAAAATAAACAGAACCAGGCAGGGGTTCCCTTTCTCAGACCTTTCTCCCCATGCAGCCTGGCTCTGACTCTGGCTAGGCTCTGGAAGAAAAAGGACACTGTCCACCTCCCCCAACTCTGCCCCCTGCTGGCTGTCCCACAGTATGGCCCCATGGTCTCTGTTTCCTCTTTTTCACCCTTTTGGTCCTACCCTCTGTCCCTCAGCAGGCTCCAGTCACAATAGATTCTCTAAGTTCTCACTTGGCCTTGGGGCCTTTGCATATGCTCTTTCCTCCTGAAACTCTCTGCTCAATCTCACTCACTCTTCCTCATTCCTCTTATTTCAATGCTTCTTATCCCAGAAAGCCTCCCCTGATCATCACCGCCAACCAAAATGAACCCTGCCACGTATTCCCACAGCACAAGGAACTTCTAAGTGTGTTCTCAGTTGTAGAACTTATGTGCACATGTGGGTTTGTGTGGTTACTTGATCTGATTAGTCTCCACCAGCACAGGGTGGAGGTGAAAGCGCCCACAATGGGGCTCATACCTGCCTTGTCCTTAGCTCTATCCTTGTCTTATCCTGTTCATCCTGTTTGTCTGTCTGCCTCTGGCCTCAGGACCACTCTCCTGAAGATCCCTCCTTATCCTTGGATACTTTCCTTTCTAGCTCTTCTGTCAGGAGGCCTGTGGTGATGGGAGTTTTTTCCATGTCTTTCTGAGCCTGTTTTCTCATTTGTAAATTGAGGGAAAGTACTGACTTCCCAGGATTGTTGGGGGGAGAGGGCAGACACTGTAGGGAAAGCATCCCATACAGGTCCTACCTCATAGGACTCTGTATGTTTAGGACAGTGGCTGCATCTCAGTACATTGTCATTTCCCTCACCTTTCTCAGTTTCATGGTAGCTGACTCTTCCCAAGGAGTATTTTCAGAAGACAGGTAACTGGGAATTAGGATAGCTCTTTTTATTTATTTATTAAAAAAATTTTTTTAATGTTTACTTATTTCTGAGGCAGAGAGAGACAGAGCATGAGTGGGGGAGGGTCAGAGAGAGAGAGAGGGAGACACAGAATCTGAAGCAGGCTCCAGGCTCTGAGCCGTCAGCACAGAGCCCGACTCGGGGCTCGAACTCACAGAGCGCGAGATCATGACCTGAGCCGAAGTTGGACGCTCAACCGACTGAGCCACCCAGGCGCCCCGGGATAGCTCTTTTTAAAAAAAATTTTTTTTAAATGTTTTTATTGAGAGAGAAACAGAGCGTGAGTGGGGAAGGGGCAGAGAGAGAGGGAGACACAGAATCCGAAGCAGGCTCCAGGCCCTGAGCTGTCAGCACAGAGTCCGATGCAGGCCTCAAATCCAGGAACGAGATCATGACCTTGGCTGAAGTTGGACGCTCAACCAACTGAGCCATGCAGGTGCCCCAGTATAGCTCTTTAACAGTAGTAACAGGTTCCATTTATTAGGTTAGGCCTAATATTAATTGCTTTGCATGCCTCATATTACTTTTATTAAAAAAATTTTGGGGGCACCTGGGTGGCTCAGTCGGTTAAGCATCCGACCTTGGCTCAGGTCATGATCACGAACTGTGAGTTCAAGCCCCACATCAGGCTCTGTGCTGACAGCTCAGAACCTGGAGCCTGCTTCAGATTCTGTGTCTCCCTCTCTCTCTGTCCCTTCCCCACTCATGTTCTGTCTCTCTCTCTCTCTCTCTCAAAAATAAATAAACATTACAAAAAAAAATTTTTAAATGTTTATTTTTGAGAGAGAGAGCGCGCCAGAGTGCGGGGGGGGGGGGGTGGGGGGTGGGGGGGAAGCAGAGAGAGAGAGGGAGATACAGAATCTGAAGCAGGCTCCAGGCTCTGAGCTGGCAGCACAGAGCTGGATGCGGGGCTCAAACTCACGAATGGTGAGATCATGACCTGAGTTGAAGTTGGACACTTAACCGACTGAGCCATCCAGGCACCCCATATATTTTTGTAAGTAGGCTTTACGCCTAGGAGAGTCCAACATGGGGCTTGAATTCATGACCCTGAGATCAAGACCTGATCTCAGATCAAGAGTTGGACGCTTAACTCTCAGAGCCAC